TAACAATATCGTGACTGATATACACGTGGCCCTCGCCAAGGGGTAACAATACTGTGGCTTATGTTTACGTAGCCCTTGCCCGGGGGTAACAATACCGAGGCCTATATTCACATAGCCCTCGCCTAGGGATAACAATACCATAGCTACTTGTGCATAAGATATGGACCTTTGTAGTCGTCGGTACCGACTATACATGTGAGTCTCAAGAGTAAGTTGATGTGATAGCTAATGGATGTACCACCTATAACTGCCATGATTTCTGGATAAGTATATGAATCTGAATCTGTTTCTGATTTGAAATTTGAATATGCATAAGAATCTGTTTCAACTATAAACCGTGTTTTCTAACTCCGAGGTGGATATCATTCATCAAACTCTTTACCTTGTTATTATTCACTAGGCTTCCTCTCACTTTAGTATTTATGAATGTAGGTGACCGGGCTCAAAGTTGATGGCCTAGAATTCCGTTTTGTCAGCCACCCTTTACGCCTCCCGAAGAGGTTCCGAATCAAGTCAAGCCATGTGGCCATGTCGTTTTGAACGTTCAACACTTTGTCTTCTCTTGTTTAATGAAAAATTTGTTTTTGGTCATTTGTTCAGGGAGTGACGTATAATTACTGAATCTATGTGATGTCATGTGTATGCTCGTAAAGTTTAAAAAATTATTGTCTCATGCATGTCTGCACAGCTCAATGAATGTTGTGTTTTATATATTTGCTTCCGAAACCCCTTGATTATATGTTATTATGTTCAGAGGCCCTTGGTAATCCAAGGATTACTAGCCGGTTACGATGCTTAACTTATAGGGGCGGGTTTGGATCCTGACACCTACGATCAATTCTTGAACAAATAAATAAACGCGAGTGAAAATAATATTTAAGTGAGGATACCAAAATAATCATTGGAGCTTCTACTTTTATAACAAAATTTATTGACCAAAAAGGCCGATATTTACATATGAAGAATAGAATTATAAATACTATAAAAGTGCTATGTGTATCCATTCCGCAGCCCCGTGTCTAAGACTCTCCAAAAGCTATTTCTGAATTGCAGTGTTTCCTGAAAATTGATAAACCACTATAAGCACATGGCAGGGTAAGAATATTATATTGAGAGCATAATTACCATAGATAAGCTTTAGGCTTAAAATACATAAAATAGAATATTTTTCTATTAGAGTAAATAAGTTACTCATATTATAACAGAAATCATATGATATTATATGAAAATATATAACTATAACCATGGTGCAAAACAGAACAGAGGTCAATAGATTCATGACAATACAGAGGTACGAATTCAAGAGGTGGCTCGTACGGATTCTAAAGGTGGCTCTCACAATAGTTTAGCACTTAATTCTGCACAGTACTTTGCTTCACACAAAACAAAGATCAATAGATCCATGACAAACAGAGGGCCACAAGATGACCAAATAGAGGCCAATGGTTATTTAAGCCCTCCAAGTAGGGGTGTAATTTTGGCCCGTGGCTCGTGGGCGGCCCGAAGCCCACCTACGGCCCGAGGTGGGCCCAGCTCATTAAGACCCGTTTAGGCCCGAGCCCAAGCCTAGCCTGAGGCCTTGGGCCAAGGCCTGGGCCATCGTTTTGAAGCTCGGTCGGGCCCCCTGGCCCGCTCAAGGCCCACCCAAAAACCGGCCCGAGGCCCGGCCCACCCGATGCCCAATGTTATTTTTAATGGAAAATAATAAAATTTTGGTGAAAAAAATTTTTAAAAAAATTAAAAAAATTGATTAGGCCCGCCCAAGCCCGCCTAAAACCTGAGCCCAGGCCTAAGCCCAAGGACCCGGCCCACTGGCCCGCCCAAAGCCCGAATACCCCTGGGCCTGGGCCTAGTTTTCTAGCCCGTGGGTCGGGCCGGCCCAATTTTTTAGCGGGAGCCCGCAAGGCCCGACATAGGCCCGACCCAAGCCCGGATGGGCCAGGCCAAGCCAAAATTACACCCCTACCCCCAAGGTATGGGACTCCCGTGATAATACTTACAGAAAATAATTGTTTACAAGATCACTGTCAAATAAACATATCTATGGGTTTCAATATAAGCAAATAGAGTTTGAAAAATAATCATCGTAATCGAAATATTAATATAATTTATAAAACACAAATTACATAAAATAAATTATGGTAACTCAAAATAAACGTAAAATATATTATAGTGACTCAAGGTATAATATAATTTATCTTAAAATTAACACCTCACTCTTTCTTTTCATTATCCAAAGCCCTCTTGACTTCCAATATTTTCTTCCTCTTTCTTTGTTTTTTTTCCTTTTCTTCTTGTTCACAACACCACTCCTTTTATACGAAGGTGTAATGCTTGCTCAGCAAGTTTCGAGTGACACGTAGCCACACCACGTGGCCTCTCTATTTAGTTGCATCATCATGCTATAGATTTGAATCTTACCCCTCAAAATGGGTAAGTTTAGATTAGTTGCTTAATATTATATATATATATATATATATATATTATATTTTGATCTTAATTAATCATACATAAGATTATATTTTTCTCATTTATAATTAGATAATACTACTATAAAATTTAAGGGACAATTTAAATTTTCGAGTTATTACAGTTACAATTACCCCACCTACTTTTCTATATTAAATGGGTGATATACAATTAATTAATAACATTTTTCATTAACATAAAGAAGATAAATAGATTTCCATTGAATTTTTCTTGCTCTATATTCATTATTTCGTTCGCATATTTTGAGTTTGTTTAGATTTTATTTGAATAATTTGAGCATACGGATGGTTCTTATTTGGTGGGGAGAGTTTAAGTTGCACACAAAATTCTTTCGGAGATTGTTGTATATTTAAACTCACATAATAAGGAACAGTATATAGTTTTCATGAGTGTCTAGATTCATATAGGCTTTTTTTATCGGGTTGTTGAGTTTCTTTCAAGTTTAAATCAACTTGAAAAAAAAATAAAAAATTGAAGGATGTGTAGAGCTCACCATTAGGGATGGCAATTTAAACTCGGCCCGACGGGGACCCGATCCCCCGACCCCGATTGGAACAGGTTTTTTCTGAAAATTACCCCCATAGGGCCGAGCATAGTATTGAAAATTGATTCCCCGACGGTTTTCGGACTGGGGACGGGGATAGGTTCCCCCAGCCCCGAATTATACCTAAATATTCACCATATATATATATATATATATATATGTTTGAGTCAGTCTGCCTCTCTCAGTCACTCACATTCATTTCTCTCAAGTCTTAGTCTCTCACTCATTTACTGTCTCTCTCTCTCTCTCTCTGCGCAGCGTCGATCTCTCTCATCCCATCACCGCCGATCGCTGTCGTCCCTCCATTGTCGTTGTGACGCTGTCCCTCCTCCCCATTGCCGCTGTCCCTCCTCTCCATCATGGCGATCTGCGCAGCTGCTTCATCACCGCTGTCTCTCCTCCCATCATCGTCAGAGTTCTGTCGCTCCTCTCCATCGCCGCTGATCGCCGTCGTCTCTCTCTCTCTCTCTCTGAATGTATGACTTTTTATTTTTTATTTTTTACATTTTGAGCTCAGATCTGTTCGTCTGTCTCTCTCTCTGAATGGGTGTGTTGTTGTTGATGATGATGATGAACAGATGATTGTTGTTGTTGATGAATATATATACTCAGATCTGTTGTTGAATATATATGTTGTTTTTTTTTTTTTTTTGGCTAGGGAATTTTCGGGGTTGGGAAAACCCAATCCCCGTTAGGGGCCGGGGGGGGCCAGGGGCGGGAAATTTCTACCATCGGGGATCGGGGATCGGGAATGTGGTCCTTGGCCCCGCCCTGGTCCATTGCCAATCCTACTCACCATGAATTTCAGTTTGATTATCCGTACCGTTTAATTTATAAAGTTTTCCATATATGTTATTTATGAAAAAACTAAGTCGATTCGATAATCATAAATTTTTAGTTCATCATATTTGTCTTAAAAAAATAAATAATTTATTTTTAAAAACATATTTGTCATCAATTTTTTTTCTAAAACAAATGAGACAAAATAAAAATATTATAAGCATTGAATCAATTTAAATTTTTTTATAATACATGCTACAAAATCGACAATTATTCATAACATGCATATAAAAACCTATTCATCCTATTCCTTCCCATCATAAAATCTTTAAATAACTTATTCAAAATAAAAAAATATATATTGAAAAAAGAGAGAGAGGCCTCCCTATCAAGAAGATGAAGAAATAGAAGCCTTTGCCTTCCTACTAATTTTTAGGATTAATTACATTTTTTATCCGTAAGGTTTGATTTAAATTTGTGCAATGATTTATTCACCAAATTTGCTATTGCGAGAAATTCAAAAATGGCCCGCAGTCTGGGGTGGGCCCGACCTGGTTAGGCCCAAGCCTAAGCCTAGCCTGAGACCCTAGGTCTTGGCTTGGGCCATCATTTTGAAATCCTGCCGGGCCCATTGACCCACTCAAGGTCCACCCAAAACCTAACTCGAGGCCTAATGTCATTTTTAATGGAAAATAATAAAATTTTGATGGAAACAATTAAAAAAAAAACAAAAAAAAAATGTTCAGGCCCACCCAAGCCCAAGCCCAAATACCCCCTGTGCCTGGGTCTAATTTTCTAGCATATGGGCCGGTCCAAACCAAATTTACACCCGTAACTGTCGCCCGAATCGCTCGAATTTGTGTCAGCTGGACGACCGGCTTCACTCTCATCTACAGCAGTCATCACCCTGTCATTCGGATGACCGACTAGTCGACCTGTCGAACGACCAGCATGAATAAATTTCGGCAATTCGAGCGACGCCAAATTTGGTGGATATCTTTAAATTTTACTTTAATCCCTATTGTTTCAATTTAAATAATGTTGTTCCTAAACTTTAAGTTCAATTTCAATTTGGTTCTTCCATCTAAATTTCTGATAATTTTGTCTATACAACTTAAAAAATTGATAAGTATTCTAAAATTCTCATCTTTAATCTGTAATTTGAACGGAAGGAACAAATTAAAACTGCTATTTAAAGTATATGAACTAAATTGTTCAATTTGAAACTGCATGAAGTAAAAGTATAATTTACATCAAATTATAAGGGTGAAAAATGTAATTAATCCTAATTTTTATTGATATATTCTGCATACATATATTTCTCAATGCTTCTTGAGTTGAGATAGCAAGGCTCTGTTCTCATGGTGAAGTTGAAGAGCTTTCTTTCTCAGTTTCTCATTCTCTTCTATGATGCTTTTGTTCTCCATCATCAGCTTCAAGTTCTTCATTTCTATCTCTCTCTTTCTCACCCCAACCCGGACCTTCTCTCTTCCACCCCTTGCTGTTCTCCTCTTCCTGTTCAATTTAAAAACTTTTGTCACACACACTGAGTCATTTGTTTGGGAGAAAAATATTTTTTTGATACGTAAATATTTTTTAAAAATACCTTTTTATGTTTGATTGTAATCTAAAAATGATATATTATTAGTAGTTGTGATAAAGTAGTGTTGAGAAGATTGTAGCAATAAGGTGACAACAACGATGGTAATGAGTGTACGTACGATAATAATTTATTGCAAGAGTATTTAATCGTGATATTAATAGTACCAGTAATGACAGAGATTCCCATAATACACAACTTTCAAAATGATTTGAACTATTCATATTACTGTTAGACACAATTCTCAAAAAAAATTCAAACACATCAATGGGGGTCATGGGGTCCTCCTTTATGAGGGTGCCAAACATTTTCCCAATAATACTAGTAATAGTGGTGGTAATAGTGGGACATAGTTGGTAATAATTTAATTTGAAAATTATTTTTTTTACATTTAACAAGTGAAAAACATTTTGAATTAAAAAAATTCATTTTCCATTGCAAACACATAAAGTGAAACTTTATTACAAATGCATAAATCAAATACAGAATAAAATACTGATTACATATCAATAGATAAAATTTTACACAATTTATAAATAGGATCCACTTTTAAAGTAATTTATTCAATCACATATATTGCGTTCAATTTTTTGATTGATTACTTTAGGTTCCTAAACTTATTCTATTTCATTTTTTTTTTTTCATTATATGAAATGCCAAAAACAAAGAAAATAAAATATATATATATATATATTTGGTGTCAAAATGAACAATAGTATGAGAAGAAATTTACCAAAATAGCCTTAGAACTCGAAGGTTAAGCCCCTTTGAAAGCCTTTGCTGGAAAACAGTGGAATAAATAAGGTGAGAATGAGATGGGTTGAAATTTGACATTTTGATCTTCTCAGTGAATGAATGATCATCAGCCATGGAAGGAGAGCTTTAATGGGAGAGGTTTGAATTAACAGAAAATTGAGTTTTTAATGAGGTAGAGGAATGAGCAGAAACTGAGACAAAAAGAAAAGAGTAATATACCCTATATATAGCTGAGTTTATAGGTGTTTGGCAAGATTTTAGTTTGGTTTTTTTTTTTATTTTTTCTACTAAAAGGCAAAGTTTTTACAAAATTAAAAAAAAATAAATCCAAATAAAACATCACATCCAACTTCATAATTATTTTACTTTTTTTCTTACAAATATCACATTTAATTAAAAAAAATACAACTATCTTCCCAAACACCAAGATTTTTTTCTTCAATAATATTCTATAACTAAAAAAATTTACATAAAAACTTACTTCCCAAACGTTGTTTGTATGTGTTCATTAGAGAGAGAGAGAGAGAGAGAGGAGAGAGAGGCTTTTAATAGCAATGATGGCATGAGGACTCATGATTGCAATGGCCAGCGAGGAGCAACTTCATTTCATGAAGATGATGAATAATTTCTCTCTTTTCGCCCGGATGCTCACGGGCGGGTTTTTAAAACCCAAATCCTTTTCAATAATAATTGTTTAATAGTTATTCAAAAATCACAATTTATTGTTACTAGGTATAGAAAGCATAAAAATTAACCCTTTCTGTCTTGTCCTACTTTGAGACGTCTCTCCCTTGTGGTTAATAAGAATGAGTTAAAGGCCACGTTTGTTCGGCATATTAAGTTAGATGAAATTGTTAGTAAAAAAATTATTAATGAAAAATTTGTTAATGTAGGAATTATCAATGAAGAAAAATAAATAAATAATGGGATTGTTAAATTATTTTTATATAAAATAAATAAATAAATTATTTCTATATTAAAAAAATTAAAACAAATATTCAAACAAATAGGTGCACTTGGTAAAAAAATTAAAAACATAAATTTTTTATATAAAATAGACTTAATCCCTTTACTATTTTCTTAATCCTACTCAAAATCTAGCCAAGCTAATCCCCTTATATGATGGTATTCATAGTCCCATGAAACTACTAATTCCCTTCTATTTTTATCAATCAAACATGGGCTATATAGGACCCACAGGATTGATAGTCCAATCCTCCTACCTATGGAGCGAAACAAACATGACCTACGCTTCTCTTCATTACACCTAAAGCAAGTTTGACAACAAACATGACCTACGCTTCTCTTCATTACACCTAAAGCAAGTTTGACCATTCAGTCTGACAAGTGGGATCTATCTCAAATTTCATTTCGATGTTCTATTATGTTTATCTTCTAAATTTTAATGTGGAAATCATTCATTGAAAAAGTCAAACCAATCGATACTCCTACTCATGTAATTTTATCGTCTTTACCTTTATAAAAATAAATGGTTTACTTTTAAAATCATATTGGTCATTTATTTTTATGATAACAAAGACGATAAAATTATATGACTACAATTATCTGACGAGTAATGCTATATAAATAAAAATTCATATATAATTTTCATAAAGAATAATTCTACTTACACCACAAACCATCTCATTACACCCTTTAAATTGTATCCTATTTTTTTATAACAATTTTATCTATCCATCAAATTACTAAAAAGGACATAAACCTTAATTTCTCTAATACCAAATCTTCTGTCATCTCTGCTTGCTGGCGTCAAAGGCGGCATTACCGCTAACTACCATACATACCCAACACTTTCCCCTTCTGCCGCACACCATTGCAGCCCCACCACAGTCACCATGTGCAGCCATCACTGGAGAGAGAAGTCTTCATCGTCTCTCTACAATTTCTATCCTCTCACCTCCCTCCACATCGGCATACAATCCAGCCCTTTCCTGTCATCTCTGCAACCTCCCACCGCCCCTTCCCACCATAGTCTCTCCTTATGCACCACCTACTTTTCTTTATCTTCATCTTCTTTTTCTTCTTCTTCTTCGTTTGAAAATCTTAGATCTGGTCGCGAATGAGAAGAGTGAGAGGATTAAGGAAGGGATTCGAGATGGGGAAGGGAAGTTAGGGAAAGGGTTTACAAAGGGGTGGGGAAGGGAATCAGTAGTGGAGGTTGCCAGTTGGAGAATCAGGGTGGAGAAGGCTAAGGTTTGGCATTTAGAGTGACCACAGTGGTAGAGGCGCTCGTTGGTGAGGGAGAATGGGCTCGCCGGTGACAGAAAAGGGACTTGCCAGTGAGGAAGGATGGCCTCGCCGATCAGGGAAAAAGGGTCGCCGAAGGTGGTGGTTGGGGGTGGGTAGGTTTTGGATTTGAGAAGATGAGAGTAAGGCCTTATTTGTCATAACATAAAAAAATTTAAAAGTTAAAAAGTCATTATTTTATTTAAATTACATCACTTTTTTATCATATCACCTCTTTACCACATCATTTCATACCCAATTCATATTTCATAAAAATTCAAAAAATATACTTATTTAGATCATACCAAACCATCCTTAAATTTGGTATTATTGAGGGTGTAATGAGAAAAAATTAAAATTTTAAATTTTAGAAATGGTGTAAAAAGAAAAAGGGTGTAAGGAGATTCTTTTGTAATGTAAAAAGAATTACTCTTTTCATATATAAAGATGTGGTTTAATGTGCATATTTTATTTCACGGTTTTGGTTGGTAGCTCGAAATTTAGGGCCCGAATTCCCCTAAATTTTCATATAAGGCAACAAAAAAAAAAACAAGGCAAAAAAAAAAAAAAAAAAAAAAACAAACTTATCCAGAAAAGGAAATTAGGGCCATTAAGGCCACTGTTTTTAGGGCCACAATTCATTTTCCTTTAGAATAATGTTTGGGACCCCCTTTTGGGGGTCACACCCTCACCCCCCTTTGCCACGTGGCAGGGGGTGATTGGAGGAGCAGGAAAAAAAAGAAAAAGAAAAAGAAAAGGTAACCAATGAGAGAGAGAGGGGGTCAAAGGGGGTGAGGGGAAAAGAGGGGATGAATCATTACTCTTTCCTTTATTTCAAAACGAAACATCATTAAAGATGAATTTATTTATAATAATGATATTATACCATTCTTGTTACATTTTATATGTATGAATTTTATGTAAAAATAAAAAATTTCGGACTAATCTAATTTTTTTTTGTGAAAAATCTATACATAAGAACTAAAAATATAAATTATCGAAGTGGGCCATTGTGAACCCCATAAGCCAAATTGAATGGTCCAATCAAATAAGTGGATGGAGGAGAGGAGCTGTGTGCAATAAGAATCTAGATCGTGCGACCGTTTTGCATACATTTTTTTTATTAAATTTTTTTATTATTAGATATAAAAGTAATAAAGATAAATAAATGATAAGAAATTCATTTATATATAACATTTTTTTTAATGAAAAGAGAGGGTAGGAGATGCTCAATACCTTAACTTTTAGAATTGTTCACTTATCTTCTAATTATCAAATAATTAGAATATAAAATATTATTCAAATATAATATTTCCATAAATTTGGTCAGCATTAATGCATAAAAATTAATAATCTAAGGGCTCGTTTGGAAAGAAAAAGCCTTAGTCTTTTTGGTTAAAATAGTCACAAAAAAATAAAATAATTTTTTAACCCAATAAAACAAAATATCACATTCAATCCATAATCATTATATTTTTTTCTCACAAAAATTAAAAAGAGTCAAAAAAATCCATCACAAATAAGGCTTTTTAGCCCTAAAAAAATAGTCAAAAAGGCAACTCACTTCCCAAACGAACCCTTAACAAATTGTTTGGTAATAAATTTTGTTCCATCTCGAGTGATTTTTATTACAATCCTAAGTTCATCTTAAAAAATAAAATATTATAAATCAAAATTTTAACATTACAAACATCAGCAACCACAAGTTGCAAAATAATATAATACTTTAACATATATAATTTTTTAAAAACTATATTATTAATATTTTTAATAAAAAAATTAATGTACTTTTCTTTTTGATAAATTTTTTTTTAGTATACTTAAGTTGGGATCAGTATGAGAAAAATGATGTGAAGTAAGTAAATAATGTCAGCAAGAGAAGAATGATTATATGTAAACAGAATTATCATCCTATCTTTTAATTTTTGGGGTAAATTACAAATATTTTATGAGGTTTACTTAAAATATGAATTGTTTTTTGTGATTATGGAAATTACATCTATCCCTTAAAGTTTTTAAGTTCATAACAAATAAGACATTTTATTAATAAATTATCAAGTCAATTAGGTGTAACAATTTTTAATGATATTATAAATTTATTTCAATTAATAATTTAGATAATTTTATTATTTTGTAAAAAATAGTTAAGAATTTTATTTTTTTAATTAATTTTGTTAAATAAAAAAAATTTATAATAAAATATTTATAATTTTCTAAATCACAAAGAGAAATCATTTAAGTATACCTCATGAATGTACTTCTAATTTATCTTAATTTTTATGAAGTCAAAAAAAATTAGTTAAGTGCACAAAACGGTTTTACATGGGAACCCTATTTACGTGGTCTCGCAGCTTTGTCTCACATTTGTATATTATTTTATAAATTTTTTTAATATTTCTAACATAACTAAATCACACCTCAAAAAAAAATATATTTTTTCACGGCAAATGATACAAAATGGGCAAACGGATCAAAATAAATCCAAATCCTCTCCAATTATTTTATTTATCTATCGTTTAACAGTTAATTCAAAAAATACAATTCAACAATTATAATTTTTAAATTAATTGTGAAATGATAATTGAATAAATAAAGTGTGGGACAAGATCCTCGAATCAAGATTCTCTCATTCAGTTCTCTCTTTTATTCCTTATTTGTAGAGCTATTAGGCTTACTTTTGGGTCTAACTTCGATAATCTGAACCGTTCATATTTTAAGATTTATTGAGTATATTGTACCTGTAAAAAATCAAGTTGATTAGATATCAGAAACTACATGTTCGGATCATTAAACTAAAAACTATTTTTTTAAAAAACTTAATAAATAATTTTCCAAACACATACTTTCTGATATCCGATTAACTTGATTTTTTACAAGTATAATATACTCAATAAATTTTAAAATATAAACGGTTCGAATCATTGAAATTGAGC